TAAGTGCCCCTGGGTTCAATTCTCCAGACCAACACAACAACAACAACAAAACATTAAAATTGTACATATTAATGGGGTACCAGGTTATGTTTCAATATGTTATGTTTCAATATGTGTTTAAACCAGATTTAACATTTATCTCATTTATTATTTCTATATGGTGAAAACTCAAAATCCTTCTCACTTTTTGAAATGTGCAGTGCATTATTGTTATATACTCACCCTATTCTGCAATGGCACATCATGAATTTTTGCTCTTGTTTATAACTCAATATACGTTGATCAATGTTTACCCCTTCCTTTTTAACTTCAAGTCTCCCCTTGTTCTGGTAACTATTTTTCTACTCTCAACATTTAGGGCATCAACGTTTTCAATTTACATATGAGTGAGATTACACAGTACCTGTCGTTCTGTGTTGGTTTATTTTACTCAATAATGTCATTTTTTCATCCATGTTATCAGCAAGTGACAAGATTTAATTATTTTTATGGCTACATAGTATTCCATTGTGTATATCTACCACATTTTCTTCATCTCTTCATTGGTTAATGGACACTTAAGTTGTTTCCATTTTGGGGCCCTTGTGAATAGTCCTGCAATGAATGCAGAAGTGGGGATATCTCTTCAGAATACTGATTTCATTTCCTTTGAAAATATAACCAATAGTGTGATCACTGGATCATATGGCAGTTCTATTATTAATTTTTGAAGGAACTCCCATAGAGTTTTCTATAATGGCTGTACTAATTTATGTTCTCATCAACAGTGTACAAGTTTTCCTTTTTTCTTCACAACCTCCTCAGCACTTGAGATCTTCAGTCTTTTGATAACAGACCTTCTTATAGAGATAAGGTAATATTTCATTGTGATTTTTTTTTTTTGCATTTCCCAGATGATTAGTGGGGGTAAACATTTTTTTTTCATGTACCTGTTGGTTGCATATATGTCTTCTTTTGAGACCTGTATATGTAGATCTGTTGCCCAAATTTTAATGGGGTTATTTAATTATGCTGTTGGGTTTTTTGGAGTTCCTTATATATTCTGGATATCATCCCCTTATCAGATGTATATAATTTGTAAATATTTTTTCACATTCTGTATGTTGCATCTTCACTCCATTGATGGTTTCTTTTTTGTGCAGAAGCTTTTGAGTTTGATTTAATCCTATTGGCCTATTATTACTTTTGTTTCCTGTGCCTTGGGGATCTTTTCTAAAAATAATCACTGCCCATTCCAATGTCCTATTGTAATGGCATTTCCTCTGTTTTCTTCTAGCAATTTTATAGTTTCAAGTCTTACATAAAAGTATAACCTGTTTTTTAGTTTATATCTATCTATCTATCTATCTATTTATGGGAATAGAACTCAGAGGTGCTTTATCGCCAAGCCACATTCTCATCCCTATTTTGTAATTTGAGACAGGGTCTTAATAAGTTGCTTAACTCCACACTTTTGTGGAGGCTGGCTTTGAACTTGCAGTCCTCCTGCCTCAGCCTCCTGAGCTACTGGGATTACAGGTGTGCAACACCAGCCTGGCCTCTAGTTTATTTTTGTAACTAGTGAGAGATAGGAACCAAGGTTCACTCTTTTACATGTGAGTATACAATTTCCCAGCCCCATTTATTGAAACAATGTGCCTTTCTCTCAGTGTATGTTCTTAGCTTCTCTGTCAAAAATGAGTTGGTTGTAGATGCATAGATTTACTTCTAGACTCAGTTGATTTCCATTTGTCAATATGTTAATAAAATGATATTTTAAGCTACAGTTTCTAGTGTAATGTGGTGAATTTATTTGATATCTAAGAAAATGATTTCTTATGTCCTCTTATAACAAAAGTAGGCTATAGTAAGTGAAAATTCAATATTACAAACTGTCATGGAAATTAAACAATTAATAGTCATAGGTAACTTTCTTATATGTATCACACTTTCTTATTAAATGTATCACATTAAAATATTTTCACTTATCTTAGGGCAAAAAAAAAGTAAAATATATCAATTATCTTGCAGAAGCAAAACAATTGTTAGTCTGTCCTGTATCACAAATCTTAATTGACTTGTCAAGGAACGGAAAAAGGTCATGCTTAAGGTTAGGCAGACAGCTTTGCTTTGATTGATCACAAGCAGTTAAGTTGATCCTTCCAGACATATTCAAGGGGAAGTTTGTTTTTTCACGCTTCTGAAAACACTAGCCTTTGAGCACTGGGTTGTCATTGTCCATACTACTAATGTCATGCTAGCTAGTGCCTGCCCTGCTGTGCCACCCTCTATTACTGGTCTGTTACCCAGGGCAAGGTAAGGTGAATCTAGGTCAGATTAGTACATACAAGCGGAGCTTCTTGAAAAACCGAGAGAGTCCGCCTTCTAGGAAGTACATAGTGCCTGCCTACGGACCCAACTCCTCCTTCTCTAAGCGCTCCCCTCTAAAGTTTGTAGCTCTGGTTGCAAAAGGCAACATGCTGGACAATCCTGGGGGCTCTAGCTGCAGTTCCCGGAGCGCCCAGGAGCATAAGGAGGCGCCCTCTGCCCGTGTTTGGCTGCCCCTCCCGCCCAGTGTGCCTGGCTTGCAATAGGATAGAAAATCCGTGTTCGACCAGCACGATTTAACTCTGCAAACCACAGAAGACCCAACCGAAACATTTGCTTCCAGATTCAGGGCATTTGCGCTTTAGGACGGAGCTTCTCTGTCCAGGTTTAGGCGAAGAAGATTGTCGGGTGCAAACGGTGCGCAGAGGCTGGAGGCGCCTGGGCTTCCCTGTCCGGGAGCTTCCAGCTAGTGCCTGCACCAGGCTGGTGGGAAACGCAGCAAAGGGCGAGTCCCTTCTTTCATGGTTTTGGATCAGAGCCACCCTGGGGGTAAAAGTGAGGGGGCTACATTTCCTGGTGGAAAACCACCCAAGAGCCTTTTAGAGCATTGTTCCTACTTTGGGAAAGCAGGTCAACAGCTCAAAACCGACTCGGGTTTCCTTCCCTGGAGGCTTGGCTTGCGGGCGAGCGCGGTGCCAACCTAACCCGGCAGGGAGGTTTTTCCACGCCAAGAGGGCCCTTCTCCACCCTCGGTGCAAAAGGCGCCGCGCGGTCAGGCAGTAGATCCAGCGAGAGGAACGAGTCCCCAAGGGGTGGGGGTGCCACCTTCCTCCCAAAGCCTCCCCATAATCAACTACAGACCAGACTCCTGGGTGTAGGTCACGTAATAGGTTCCGGGCAGAAAAGGGATTCTAGCAGAACGCCTTCAGCTATTGCTTGAGTAGCGCTAGAGTAGGCGCGTCCGGGTTCCCACCCAGGCTTCCAACACACTCTGGCTCAGCACCCAGACTCTTTCAAGAATAAAATCGTGAGATTCTCTTAACAACCTTCGCTTGTTACTGTCAAGAGCAATGTTCTCTGAAGTCACTGGCCATCAGAAAAGCCTCCATCTCCCATCTCGGAGATTGGGAGTAGGGTGAGTGCTGTGGGGGATCCAATGAAATCCAGCAGGCATTGGTCTTCACTGCTCTGACAATCCAAAAGCATTTAGAAGGAGTGCTGGATTTGCATGATAGGAAACCTCCTAGTGGGTTTGGGAGTGTAGTTGTCAACAAAACAAATTAACATTGCCCCCCTGATAGAGTTTCAGTAGAAACTTGTTTATGTAATGAAAAATTAAAGTTGACTTATATTATTAATGCATTTTTAAAGCCTTTCAATGTTCTGCTCCCTTCCCCACTGCCAGCGTCTTTTGGGGTGTAGTCGCTACAAAGAGTAATAATACTGTCACGGTTGTCAGTTTCTAAAGTTTCCAACGCCTTTACAGCAATGCCTCTCCACAAAGTTTGATCAGATCCTCCCTCTAGCTGAGGGTCAGTAAAAGTGGAAACTCTAGAAGTAACGCATAAAATGACTCCCAGGTGAGTATCCTGAAAAGATTACTTAGGGAGTCGACCAGTATTTGAAGGTTCTCAATAATCAACCTTTGCTAACCCACAAAAGTAAGTGCGCACACATCCTTGCGCACAGAGTTAAGAATAATTTCCCGTGGGCGACCACTAGAGGGAGGGTCGCTGGATGTTAGTACCAGATGGGATAAATATGGAGCCTGCTATCTGATGGAATTTGCCTTTAAGTCACGTTTAAAAATCTTCAGTGAGGGCGCTCAAGGTGACTATAGTCAGGTTGGAGGTACAGGGCGCTGGGGTGGGGGAGGGCCTTAATTGTACCTGCCTGCGGTTGGCACTCACAGATTCCTCTTGTCTTGAGATGCTGCATTCAGTTATGGCTTCTTCACTACTTTCTACCAGTCTCAAATTGGGCAGCACAGAGCTATGGATCCTATTACGTGGCTCAGGTGGTAGTTTCTTTTTCCTGAAGGGAATGTGTAGGAAAGTACCGCGGAAATGGGAATTCTGCTTTCTGAATTACCTATCCAGCTGTTTCATCTGATTTTGTAGCTGTAAAAACACAGCTGATATATCATTGGGCTAGCAAAAATGTGCAATTGGTTGGAAATAGAATTGGTCATTTCTTACAGGGGAAAAAAATCTAAAATCTTCTTTTCATTTTATTTCTGAGTTTGAGAGTTTAATTTCTCACCGCCAACTTGGAAATTGTTACAAAACCTTAGAAAACAACCCTTGGAGTATTATGTTAAGAGATATTACTTCCCTGTGCAAAGGCATTTAAATTACTACTAGGTTTCTGAATATGAAAATTACCTTAGGGAAATAAAAGATAAGGGCCATCTGAACACATGAATACTTTCACTTATTGTGACTCTGAATTTGGAAATGGGCAGTGGGGGTAAGGGAAGTTTATTATCGTCATTGAAAATATTAAGATTGGAAAGTCTGTGTCTCAGTGGATTTCACCTAACTTTGCTAAATGAATCAGGCTGATGACTCAAAACAAGAACGAAAATGGAAAGTGATTTCCGTGAAAACCAGGTGTTGAGCGTCTTGTCTCGGTGACCCAATACTGGGTGCGCGCGCGCAGAGTGGCCAGACCTTCTCCACGCAGCTCTGGCTCTGTTCAATTCCGCAAGCGCACCCAAGGCAGAAATGCCACCAGTATACCGCTTCGGATGATGGGCTTGGGTGTTCGGCATTACACAGCGCCACCAGCGCTTCTTTTTTTCTCTCGGAAGTCAGACTCTCTCAACAGCACGAGCAGCAGATAGCCCTATGTGCGCTACAACCGGTGAGGCAGGGAGACCTGGGGCTCAACTGGCCAGCACGACTGGTGCTGACGTCCATTCAGGCCTTTAAATGTGTGTCTCCCTGCGCAGGAGAGAACAGTCTTTGTAGCAGTCACTTTGCCCGAAGGGAGACGCGTCAGGCGACAGCTCTGACTCCCCGCTCTCTTCCCGGAGCTGCGTTTATCTCTGTCCTCTTTGCACCAAGTCCCTGCCAGCCACTCCAGCAAGAGGCGCATTTGGTACAAGCACCTCAGGCGTGAACCAACAGGACTCCCCATGCCCCGTGCTTTTCCGATGGACTTGAAGATGAAAGATTGCGAGGTGTGCCCGGAGATCGCTCTAGGAGCAGGGAGCATCTTCTAGATTTTGGTGTGTTTGGGGGCGGGGGGGGGGGTTCTCAAAACTGGTGAAAGCGTCCTCTGAGCATCCGCATCTGCAACTTGTTTTGGTTTCTTCTCACTCGTGTGTGTGCGGTTACAACATCAAAGTTTTTCTCCTTTACGAGCAAAAAAAAAAAAAAAATGTCATTTTAATTATCCTCCCCCCCCCTCCCCGCGCTGTCTCTCCCTGGCCTTCTAGCTGGGCGGTGAGTAGATAGCGGGGCGCGCAGTGTGGCAGCGGCAGCGGAGATTGGCGCGGTCAGAAGCAGCGGAAGGGAAGAAGCTGCTGCCGGGGACTCCCTGGGTGACCCTTTGCCAAGCAAAAGAGCCAGAACCTTCCGGGACGCTGGTGCCTGCACACTGGATTTTAAACACCATCCTGGTTGTGCGACTCTGTCCCTTTTTCTCAATTGGTAACTAGTCGAGAGCGAAGCGCTTGGCAGGAGCGCTCTGCGGGACCTAACCTCCTGGCTGCTTGGGATCTGTGCGTCCGCTGCTGCGGAAGGAGCGAAGTGGAGGACGCCAGCCGTTGCTTACTGGAGCCTGGAGGTAGGCAAGGGGGTGGGATCCTGACTCTCCTGCTGAGCCCAGATTCCAAAACGGTGTCTGGTTTCATGGAGACAAGACTGTCTTCTCACCCTCATTTTCCTTCTCACCCCCACCCTTTTTGGATTCAGGCTCAGGAATAACCAAATCCACTGCACCAGCAAGGTGGATTACCTCCACCACTCACCTCCTGAATGCCTGGCTTCTGCCGTATATAGTCGTGGTGTTGGGGGAATGTGAGTTTCCTAGGGAAGTTGATGCCTTACAGAATTTGAAAATGTCCAAGTTGATTGTATTCAGTTTCTTAAAGGATGTTTCCTGTGGGCAAGAATTATGGGAAATAAATGTCAGTGTCATATACAGCTGCAATAACAGCTCAGAAATCTTCATTTTCATCCAAAAGTTTTCCCCATGCAAGTTTTCTCAATGTCCAGATGGAGTCAATGGAGACTTGGCTTGTTCCATTATATTTGAACGGGAGGGGAATCTTGTCCTTCTACTTTAAAGTAAAGTATAATATCAAGGACATTGTAGTTTCTTCTCCACCCCCTGCTCCGCCCCATTAACTACTGTGACTGTAGAAAGGAAGGCTTTTTACAGTGTTCAGTGACAATGAAGTATTTGCTTTTTCCATACTTGCCTGAAGTTTTTATTTAAATATATGACCCTTTTTAGTTGAGAAACAATTTTGGGGTAAGACTGAACTAAATATTTTTTAATGCAATTCAGCAAGTAAGAGTTTGTATATGGTATGTGGTAAATAGAATGTGTAATTGATTCCTACTCTTGCATTTTAGCTAATAATAAGGATTACATGAAATGATAGAAACAACCATTGAATTTTGGCAAACTTTTTTTTAACTGTGGGGAAATTTTAAAAATCAATATTAAAACTTGGTAAAACTTGGGTATCAAGGATATGAAGGTACTGAGGAAAACAGAGGCAAGTTAACTTTAACAGGGTGGTTTATTGAAAAATAGTGCTTGGGATTTCATAGCTACATATGGTAATCAGTGAAATAAATGAACCAGTTAGTATTCTGAGCTTGCAGTACTTGGCTCCATAGAGAGACTGCTGTTACATTTCATTTCCACTCTCATTTGTGGGAATAAAATAATGTGGGGTGGATTTATCCACTTCCTCACACTCTTATGCTATAGATTTCAGGATTCGCTCAGGGACCAATATCTGACCCCATTAAACAACACCATCTTTCCTCTACAAAGGACCTTCACATATATTGGAAGTACCAGAATATGGAACTACCCCACCCTCACTTTTTTCTCTTAACTCCTGTGCACTTGTAGCTTCCAATTTGGCCCTAAATCTCTCTGCAATAGGCCTTTTTACTCATGTGTTTTTCCCCACAGGGCAGCTCAGAATTAGGGTTACTCTGAATTGAAATAACACTTTGACATGTACTTTGAGGAGCTGTTGGGTAGAAACCATGTATGCCCAGGCTCCCTACTGAGCCAGATGTGTGGGGCACCTGAGAGGATTAGGGCCCCACTGAATACAACTGAAGTGACAGGCAGTCATACTTAGGAATAGGAACTGTAGTACTTAGTGAGAATTAGGTCACAATAGAAGGGGAGGAAAAATTAAATAAAACAACAAAAAAAAAAAAATGTAGAGGTTTCTGTATTACCTTTAGCAGAAATCAGCCTTATCTTAGATCTGCATGAGCAGGTTTATCTCAAAGGGCAGATTCTTTGCTTGGTAAATGCTTCAAAAAGACTTGAGAATCCCAAGAAAATAAACAAATCTCATTTGCAGTTATTGACTTTCAAACAAACTATGTAGTCAGGGTATAGAATAGTTTTTCTCAAAATTTAATGCCTGAGGACAGATTACAATTGCAATTTGTAATCCCCAATACAGAGAAACTGGTTCAGGAGGGTCCAGTTAACTAACTATATATTTAGCACCATGGCTGATTCCAATTCTTCTACTTCAAGACTCATCCTGTGAAAATTATAGGCTTGGTGTTAACGAACTTGCTTCAGAGAGGGAATGTGTCATAGTAGCATGTTCATCTGAAAACTTTGCCTAGTATTTGTTATCATCTTAAATTTTTCTATTTTTTCTTTGTCAATGCCATTATATTGTCATGTCTGACCTGTTAGGTGATGACTATTCTCAAATACTAATCTATTGATCTATCATTTGTATATTTGCAACCCTGGATGGTGGCTGTTTGAGGTTAAAACTGGATGATAGTGATAGTACTGAGGTGATGGAAAGGCTTTATCATTGTTGAGGTCTTAGGTTGAAAACAAAAGAAAGAAATCAATGTAGTGATGGGTTTGGTTAGGTGGTAACTTGAAGTAAATATTGTGATGATTACTTTCTCACTAGAGGAATAACAGTTTTTATATGTTCACCTTTTTATTTCACATACTTACATATTTATCTTTTTTCTTCATTATGCAAAACAGTTCAGGTAGCTTCCATGAAAGTATAGAAAGAGAAAATAAACCTGAAAAAACCCTACAACTGATTTTTTTCTAGTGAACATCTTAATTTTCATTTATAAAACTTCCCAAAGGTAATATAAAATTGAGGGAATTAATTGATGAAATTGTAAACCCAATGGTGAGATTGGTCATGTCTTTGGTCTTTTTTGAAAGTGACATCTCTGTGAAATTCATCATTTCTTCTACTCTTCCCAGGCAAGGGAAGTTGGTCATATTACCATGGTTTTCAATCCTTGTGGTAGTCATTGGCACTGTGGTATCAGAGTTCTCATTTATTTCTTTAAGACTATTTTCTTATGCAATGCTATTTGGACAGAACATGTTTTTCAGTTGTAAATATTTTGAGTTTTAAAAAAGTTTATACAATAACTGTTCAGCATCACATTTGAGTAGGGTAAGGAGATTCTGTATTTTCTACAAGCAAAACAAAACATTTTAATCAACTGGCTTTCCCCAGGCCACCATATGTTCTATCAAATTGTTATTTGTCTTTTATTTTAAACTATGTGTATGTTAATTTTTTTAAAAAGGCAACTTGCATGCTTTAATGGGAAATGTCTTCAATAGTAACAACACAGATTAAGGTAAATTACAAGGTTATTTTTGAGTTTTATTTGTTTGTTGAACTTCCAGTAATCTCTTCAGATTTTGGTTGGTGGCACTCTTAAGAATTTGGAGACCTGTGCAAGAAATTACAAAACTAAATCTCAGCAAAGTAATCTAAGCCAAAGAGAGGTATGATTTTGCTTCATATTAATAACAAATCATATATGTTATGATTGATATAAGGAGTTTGAAATATAATACCACAGCATCCAAGATTTTTGCAGTAGTTTAAAAGGTTTTTCTTTTTTAAATTAATGACACCACTGATGGCAAACACCATTCATTTCTAAATATACAAAAAGTATACAGAATTTTGTTTTGGAGTTTTAGAAATTCCTTTTTCTATCACATAGCCCCTCTCCCCCAGGGGTGAAAGAGTAGGCCACATGGTGGTGCTATTGGGATGCATAATATTTTGAATAATTCTGCCATTTAAACCATTTTTAGTTACAACTATACCAATGGAAACATGGAGTTTTCTCTAATGATAGATTTTCTCACAGTATCCCTCAATTAAAAAAACAAAACAATAGATATCCATTACAAGTCTTCATTGCCCATTATTGATGAGGACTTCCTTTAAAAATATAATTCCTCAATCTCTGTCCAAGAAGACCTCGTATCAGTGACTCCTATCTTTTCTTCCCTCTCTCTCTTTCCTGTGTTCTGATATAAATCACATCATATTTAAAGAAGATATGGTTTTCTAAATGTTTTAACATACATCAGAAATATATTTTTTTTCATTACAATGTTGTATGTTTTCTCATTTTGTCCTAAATTCATAAAATCAGAATGGTTTCTCATGCACTATCTGAATGTGTGTTTACATTGAATACATCCATGCTACCTGACAAAAGAAAAATCCATTCACACTTACAGTCAGGGATCTAATGGGTTCTTTAATGGGGTATTGCTTTGCATTTTGAAAGAGGACCACTAGAAAAGGACGAATTTTAACACCTTTCTTAGAAAGGTTTTCAGGTCCTTAGACAAAAACTATTACAACCCACATCACAAAACACAGCCACTTCTGTGTAAGGTCAATTTGTCAACCTGAATGAAATCTACTGGTTTGATAGCTCATGTCTAAAGTGCCAAAGTTTACCCAAAGTGTTTCGGTATAAACAGGAGACAAATCAGATTTAAACAAAGAGAAGAGGACATTAACAGTAAAAACTCCAGGGAACAGGAGGTGAAATCCAGGGACTAGAAAGACATTATAAAGATGAGCCAAATGATAGATCCTCATCCTTTTTTGGCTTGGCATTTGGCCAGGTTTTTTCAGTAGATGCAGACTGGAAGAGAGTTCTGTAGTAAAAAGAATAAATCCCAAAGAGAGACGAAATCATAATATCTGTATTTTCTTTGAGAGTTTTGGGGAGGATGTTTATGCCCATCTCTTTCCCAAGGTGGTTCTTCTGCCAATTAGAAAAATCATTTATTTGATACAAACTTAAAAGTTTTGTTTATGATGAAAAGTGATTATTTTCTTTAATTCTTAAAGCTATAATATAGTTGTCTTCTAAGAAGTACGTCTTCTTGTTTAATTTTTAGCAAAATATCTGCAATTGGCTAATCATATAATTTAAATAAAATGCCTTAAAATTTATGAAAAATATACTCTTACGCATAGATGCTTCTGGACCCTCTCATGCAACTCCATAAAATACAGTGAAAAAGACATATTGGCTCATGTTTTTAAGATAATTCAAACATTAGAAATGACTTATGTAACTTTAGGTGTTTTCTGCCATTCTTACATTTGTTGTTTGTGAATGAACCACTTAAATCCTCACCTCTTTGGCACTAAATTTCTTTCAGGAGTGAAGCATAGAAGAAAAAGGAAGTATATCTATTGGTTTTGACTTGATATTTTGATCTATGACTGATATCTATGACTGATATAAAGAAGAGGC